ATAATCGTATTTTTAAATGTGTGAATGAAAATGAAGGTTTAGAGTTTTTTATTGCAATGGTTCTAGATATAAACAAGAATGTAAAATAAGACTCTATAACAAGGTAAATCGGTCCAGTAGAATCTGAAAAGTCGTGGGTATCATTTTGAAGAGTTTTTGGAAATTCGAGTTTAAGCTTTCAGTTACTGACAAACCATTTTGGATGCCAGGTCAACAAAATATTTATATCTTCGAAAACAATTTGTGTTTTGAAAAATTTTCTTGTGAAATTACTTGAAATACACACTTTCTGAAACGAAAGTTTTTTAAGTGAGAAACTTTAATTACTAAAAGACACCCTTCGAAATAAAGCTAAAACCCATGTTTCACGTAGTTTTTGTTTCTTGAATAATTTGAATTCGATATTGTTATTGTTTTGCTCACCCTAATATAATATATACATTAAACACTTAAATACAAAAACATAAAAAACAACTGATAATAGAAATTTATTTTCTGAACCCGAATTACATAAGAACGTGTGTCTATATAGTATGTACAAAATTAAGCTCATGCTGACGCAGTGTATTCAAAAATCTTATCGCGTGGGGTGTGGGCCAATTTTTCAGGAAGCGCGTGTGCGTCTTTTATGCGTAAATATTAATTGTATTGATTAATGAGGCATTATCAATAACTATTTATGTGATAAAGTAGCTAATTCAAGAATATTTTTTATGACAAGCTTTTGTTTTTGAGTTAAATAACTTTTTGCGTTTATCGATTGAACTTGTTTACCCCCCTAGAAGAAATGTATGTACACAATGTGTTCTACACATAATTGTATGTTCACATAAGAGCGATTTGTTTTTGCAGAATTACTTCGTTATTTACCTTTAAAAGTGCAAACAGCGTGTTGTAAACATGTTGAGCGAACTTTGTAATCGGCACACACACATACACATATGCATAGTACCGTTTCTCAAAAGCTTTTAAAAACTAATAAACACCGTTATAAAATATTTACGTGGTACAAACTAATATAATAGTAAACAAGTTATTAGCACCTATTGAGTATTACATAGATAATAGGTGAAAGGTGAGGACTAAATAATAATTTGTTACTTTAGTAGAATATGAATACAAAATCTAAAAAAATTATATATTGTCACACACAACTAAGTGACCGGAAGTTGCAAAATAATCTTTTAAACATTATGACAAGGTAACTTTCAAGAAGTAGTAGTACTACTGAACATATAACGTGCCTTGAAGCAGGAATATTCCCTGAACCCTGGAAAAAGTAATGGCTGGTGCTAATCTGTACGGGAATAAGAGAAAAAGAGACCCCAACTTGCCATCAGCTACCGTCCGCTATGAATGCTTGACACAGCCGGAAAACTCTATAAAAGGCTCCTTAAACTAAAACTCGAAGCGGCTATCAAAGAAGTTGGAGGACCGTCCCCTCGATAACATGGCTTTAGACCAACTATAGGAGCTGTAAAATGCGTCAGATGGCATAAATACAAAATATTAATGTTTCTAGCAACTCTAGATGTCCGAAACGCCTTCAGCAACGCTAGATAGATGGATATGATCGACGCTCTCGAAAAAAGCTTTAAGATTCCCGACTAGTTCAGCGCTGTGGTGCGTAGCTACCTTAGCGACAGCAAACTGCTGTATGAAACTAAGGAGGGATCACGACAAATAGTGGTCACGTCAGGAGCAGCTCAAGGATCCATTCTAGATCCAGACCTATGAAATATTAGCTACGATACTATATTAAAACTAGAAATGTCAGATGAATCGTATTTAATTGGCTACGCGGTCGACATTGCAACAGTAATAACAGCAAGTGATATAGAAGAAGCGCGAAGAAAGCTGAACCAGATCATGATACTGGCGTCAGCATGGCTCGACTCGCAAAGCCTCCAGCTCGATACGGAGAAAACTGAGTTACTATTGCTAACAAACAAACACATACCTCACGAGATAAGCATGCACACGACTACGGGTATTCTTAGGACACAAACAGCAATTAACTACCTAGGCATAAGACTAGACCCGAGACAAGTCTTCTGGGCGGCGCACGAAAGGCATCGTAGATCACCTCTCAACTGAGCCGACTAATCGCCAATATAGGAGGCCCCAGCCAAGAAACTAGAAAGCTCCTAATGTCGACAACAATCAGCGTATTATTCTACGTAGCTGATGTATGGGTAGACGTCCTTAAAAAGGAAAACCGGCGGAAGATAGTAGCTACAGTGTACCGCACCGCAGTCTTGAGAGTTGCATCAGCCTACCGAACAATGTCTGGAGATGTAGTATTAGTTTTAAGCGAAAATGCTCCAATTGACCTTCTAGACTGTGGGAGCTAAAGAAATTATCCGATAATAACAAGAGCGCAATGGAAAAAATAAAGAAAGATACAATAACAACATGGCACTAAAGATGGGAGACTGAATATCTCGTCAGATGGACGACCAGACTAATAAAAGATCTAGACTCATGTTAGTCAAACCGAAAATTCGGAGAAGTACATTTTTAAACAACCCAGCTGTTAACCGATCACGGATACTCCAAAAAGTACCTCCACAGAATGGGAAAAGTCGAAAAGCCGTCATGACGCGACAAAAGACGACGCTGAACACACATTCTTTGCGTCTAATTTTTGACATTTTCATGAACAGAAACTGTCTACATAATTTGAATAGAGTTTATATCAAAAGTGAACGCGTTTTCGCTTTCATGGTTATTGCCAACTAAATGAGTGCTACAGTAGTGGCAAAAACTTGAAAAATTCATTTAAATAAACAGTGCAATTGAATGTCTATAATTATAAAGGAATATAGTATAGTAAAATCCAGCTTATTTGAAGAAACACATATTGCTTTTGTTATTAGAACTATTTTTGATTTCAAGCTCAACTTTTGCTTCAGTAAACGTCGGCACTTGAAGAAAATTTTACAAAAGAGTAAATAATTTATACCATTTCTTACGTTGCCTTACTAATATTTATTAAACAAATATTTTTAAATAAAGCACATTATTGCGTTTGCATAGTTTTAGGCGTTTTCAAATAAATTTATTGATAATGCGCGCTTATCATATGAAGAAAGTGGAGCAAACTCAAGCAAGCACATAAGTTCATATACATATATAGTACGTGATTAGTTTAATATATATGCACTATAGGTTGCTGATAAGCGTTTTTGTGTGCAGATTCAAGCATAAATTTGTCATAGCGGAATTTTTTAATTACATGTTAACGTGTAAAGTTACACTGTTAGGCATAAATAATGTTACATTTTTGAACATTGCAATGTTAAAATTAACATTTTTTAGGTAATAATTTCTACGAATAATTGTCTAAATTATATATAATATAAATGCAATGGTTGTCTCAAAGTAGGCTTTCGAAGCTTCTTTTTCCATAAATCCATTGATTGATGTGATGTGTGGGAAGTGGCACTGTCTCGATGAAACCAAATGTCGCCGAGATCCCGAGCTTAAATTTCAGGCATCTAATAGTCGGTTATCATAGCTCGATAAGAGTCGCCATTGATGGTTACGTTCTCACCGGCATCATTTTTAAAGAAACCGTTGTCTTTTATGGATTAAAATGAGAGCTCTTGAATCTTTTCAGGTTGCTCTTTTCAGGTTGCACTTCGTCCCAAATTCGGTAATTGTGCTCTTTTACATATTCATTGAGCCAGAAATATACACCATTGCTGAACATAATTTGGCTCGAAAACGTCGGATCATCTTGGAACGTTTCAAGAGCTCATAAAGCGAAGTGATATCGCTTATGAAGAGATGTTGAGTTGCAGATCTCGACGTAAAATGTACCAAGTTTTTCCATACGCCAGCCCGAGTTGCTGCGAACGGCGCCAAATCGACTATCCACGGTCTTCGTCTACACTCTCAGCTACAGCTTGTATATTTTCTTCACTGCGTATTGGACTTGGTCTATTCGGTCGAATATTATCTATGGAAATGAAATTTTGGTAAGGTTTCAAATCAGATTGCAATATAATCTCTATTTCATGGGCCATAAAATTTCAATATTTTATTACTTATTTCTTTCACAGAAAATTTTAAACAACAAAAAAGAAAAATAAATAAAATAAAATCAATACAAAATTGAAATCATATTAAATATGCAATTTTAAAACATATGTGACAATGGATTGTGCAATTTGACAGCGCTCCAAATATTTATACCCGCTACTGTATAGCAATATGCACTAGAAGTGACAGCTGATTAAGCGAAAAGGTTAGCAACGTTGGAAGGTAGATTATACAAATGCAAGTTCAAAATAATAATTAAGCTGAGTGGGTAGAAATACGGGAATGATTTTGGAGGTAGAAAAGGAATGATACAATTAAATTTTTTTTTTTTTTTTAAAGGGTGAGTAGAAGTAAATGTAAGCAGGTTTTGTAGCGGCGTAGAGAGAAAGAGCGGATAATGAGCAATTGTTGAGTAAAACAAAAGTGTTTATTAAATAAAATTAAAAGAATTAATCATATATCCGTAAAGGTAGACAATCTTAATAAGTTCTATGACATATTTTTTGTAGTTGTAAAATGCATTATTCAAGACATGTAAGTGCATTAATTATATGTTGAATGCGACACATAAGGAAGACTTGAACAAGTGTGTAACCGAACATTACAAAGTGGCGCAAATTGTGACAATGTAAGGTGCGTGCAATGCGATCGAGATGCATTTCTAGAAGAAAGACGATCTTGAGTATTATGAGTTCTTCAGTGAAATTATAGGTCGATGGCATTACTTTTTTGTAGTACATAACAAGTTGTCTTATAAGAAAGACTGAGTATATATTTAATTTCACTAAGCTATATACTGGATTATCAGAGTTTGTTATTGTAAAAAGATCAACATAAAGCGAATTCAGAATGCTCTTTATGTAGGGTATAAAGGAAAGTAGTGATCGATTTAGTCTCTCTCTACACCAAACATTTGACTCGGATAATTAGATTAATACAAATCTTTATTACAGCCTAAAAAAAAGACTCTGGCGCCAATACAAATACACTAGCGTCTAATGAAATTTTCCATACATTTGTTATAAGCTTCGGCGGGGATGATCTTCATTGATTTCAACGAATTATGGGTTTTTTTGATTTTGACAAATTTTTGGAGCGCCATTTGCTAGATCGATGAACTGTTTCGACGCCATATTCATAATCTTGAAGTTACAAAAAGGTTGTACCCATCTAGAAAACAAGTTATGATCGATTCGCTTTGGGTGCACGGGCTTATGGACCAGTCCGGTTCAAATTTGATCACATGTCGGAGAGGCAAGAAACATTATATTCGAAATATAGATGTTACGAAAATATTAGACAAAAAAAAAAAAATATAGACATATTAACTGGAAAGTTCTTACGGGCTAGTCACTAAAGTGGTTAACAGGAAAAAACTGACCAAGAAGAAAGCGTAGTCTTTTATTCGGGTACAGAGTAAAGATCGATTTCGTTTCGATCTCACGGCAGTCGGGTCTAAGTAAGCATTAAATCAGAAACAAGAGTTGCTCGAGATCGAAGGTATTTTAAAGACACAATGTACATCATTTTATTCATGAATATTTGGGTATGAGAAAGATATGTGATATAAGGTGGGTTCCGCGCGAGCTCACTTTTGACTAAAAACAAGGATCAGTTGATGACTTGGAGCCGTGTTTGGAGATGTTGAAACGAAATAAATCCGAGTTTATGCGTTGATATGTGACAATGGATGAAAGATGGCTTCCACGGCGGCAGCCAACCGGGTAGACTGCACTCGATGTACCCGCTCCAAAGCGTGGAAAAACGCAACAGTCGGCTCGTCAGGTTATGTTATTTGTATGTTGGGATGCGCATGGAATAATTTTTATTGTCTTCCTAGCAGCGACTATTAAATAGCATTATTAGACCGTTTAATGAACGAAATAGCCGAAAAGCGGCTGCATTTGAAGAAAACGAAATGGCTATATCACTAAGCCAATGTCACAAATCAGTGAAAACAATGACAAAAATCTATGAATTTGGCTTCGAATTACTTCCGTGAATATGAATCCTCTGTAGAATCAGTATGACAGTATATTTGCATGAAGAGGCGATCGCTGCAAATGAGGCCTATTTTGGAGCAAAAAACAAATGTATGTATATATCAAAATGGTATCGAAAATTTGTAGGGTCGCTATTATCAGTGAATCAACCATAAAAAATTGTTGAATAAAGGAGAAACGAATTTTGCCAATAAAATGTGTTTTTCTGTGATAGGCCCGACACCTTTAAGCTCACCTGACTCGGCTATAATCGCGTAAGCGGTGTCTACACCAATTAAGAAGATTAAGTTATAGATGTAGTCCAAGACTAAAATACTCTCTTTCCTTAACAGGTTGTGTGGGTATAAAAATATGTACAATTATTCAAGTATTTAGTAACAAATTTCTTAATTACTGTACTCCTTTACCTTTTGAACTCATTACTCTTAATACATATCCGTAGAATACGTTACATAAATAATTACATAGCATTTACAGATATTCAAAACCTATTATATATGTATATGCAACTTAGTATGTGCTCGGATACAACTCGCTGAAGGCGCATTTTTATTGCGGTGACGTGGGTGCGTGATAAGATTCATCGCTTCTAGTATTTGCTATATACGATTTCATATTGACAGTTTAGTAGATTAAGCGACGCTTGAAAGTCAGGCCTGCACGCGTGTTTAGCAAGTGTTTGAGCAATTATCAAGCAAATTATTTTTATTCGTTTTGCTTTTTTATTTTTGTTTGAATGCCGTTAGTAATAAAAAAATATTGATCGTCATGTGTCCAAACTTGTTCGAAATGCGCTTGGAGAAAATGTGTGTGTTATTTATTGTTGTGCTAAGTGCGCTTGTGTCAACAATTGAGTGTAATTTAACGGTAAATTTAGAAATGAGTGAATTTGCTACTATATAAGCTTAGTTGCTTAGTATCCAATTTAATTGCATAAAATTATATTGTAGTGAATTCAACATTAGAATGTGCATAAGATACTCCATAACTGATAAGGACGTTCGCGCGATGCGGTAAGCTTTAGTTCTCGCAATTTCCGTGTGCTTTGAAACATCTCTTCAGTTTCTATTTTGTTTCGTTTTCGCACTAATAATAACGTACTTGCGTGCGTGCTTTCCTTGACTTTGCTGATATCATCCTAGTATGAAAGAAGGTGTAAACAAAACTACGTGACTGAGTACCCGGGTGATTAGAAAGAAGAAGAAAAATAAACTGAAAAAATATCAAAAATTGGCTTAATTAATAATTTATAATTATAAACTCTATCTAAATATGAGTAAGTGAGCAATCTTCGTAAACCGTAACCTTAAGTTAAAAGTGATCTAGAAAATGCAAACAAAATAAAATGCAAGCGTTCACCTTTGAAATTATCATTAATTACGAGCAGATTATATCAGTTTGGTAATAACCAAACTTAGTTGCATTAAGTAATCTCCATTTCGTCTGATATGATATAGCTTTATTGCCTAACCGGTAGAAAACAATATAGACTTTCAGTCTGGCTGGTCCTTTTAAACCACGCGCGAAAAAACAAATCCCTAAAAATGTTTGCTTTCAATGGTAAAACCACTTTGGGTAAAAGTTTAAACTTCATATGTCAATTCGAGTGTGCTCGGCAGCTGTTTGCTTGCGATGCCAAAGGTTTGTCGTGGTCAACCGACTATTGAGGCGTTCCCCGAAGTGGATTTTTTTGTTTCGAAAACAAATTACTGCTATGAGCAAAAAGTTGTAAGACTTTTTTCATAATTTAAAAATTCTTAACTTATTCTTCAAAATCTACGTCAACCCTCTTGAAATAATCCCCCTTGGCCACTTCTGTCAACATTTTTTCCAATCCACGAAACAGTTGTCAAAGCTAATTTCCGGAATAGCTTTCAATACGGGTAGCGATTTACCTTTAATGTCTTCAATTAACTCAAAACGGCTTCCCCCTGAGCTGCATAGCCAGAAGTCACACGGAGTTAAATCAAGCTAATACTTTGACTTTAGCTCGATATTTGTTGAAAATATGGTGAAAAACTCACAAAAAATCAATGCAGTACGCTACGGTGCATTATCGTGGTGTAAAAACCAAGACTTGCCGGTCAATAATTCTAGACTCTCTTTACGAATAGCTTCGCGTAAATGACACTTAATACTTGTTTTCAATTTGGCCATTCGGAAGGAATTCGAAGTGCACCACACCTCGATAATGAAAGAAAACTGTTAAAATAAGCTTGATTTTTAACCTGCTTTGACGTGGTTTTTTGACTCCGGTTCATCTTTGCCATATTTTTCGGTCGATCGTCTGTATTCGGGCTGTAAGCATAGATCCAAGACTGATCGCCAGTAATAATACGTTTCATCAAATGCTCATTCTGGCCCAAAAGAGGTATAGGTAAATTTCATCTAATTTTATTGGCTTATGTCAAAGTATTATATTAGATGTAGAATTCCATTATTTTTGCAATAATTAGAAAGTGTTATTAAGCTTAGTTAGATCGATCTGATTTTGGTCAAATATTTATTATTTTGGTCGACATTACAGAATTCCACTCACAGAAACTGTGTCCCTAGTGGCAAACAATTTGCACAGCTGGTATATATAAGCTTCTCTTGAGGCGAATTTTCAACCAATTAAGTATTCAGTTGGACTTTTCGTTGAATGCATAAGAACTTTCTAACCAAGCTCCGGAGCCACTGGCAATTCACTATCGAGGCGTGTGGCCTGGCCAAAGCTACGTTTGATATAAACCTGCGATTGTCAAAATTTCTCACAAAATTGTAATTTTCAGCTGACAGAAAATAACTCTTTGATATTGCCTCGCTAACTTCTGTTAGTATTTCTTTTCTTTATACTTACTTATTTCGCTTTTTGTGAGAGCAACTTGCATTTTCGTTCCTCCTGATAGCTAGCAGCAGTTATGAAACAAACCTTTTGTTAAGAACGAAGCTGCAATCCGGCTGTTCTGCATCACTTGCAGGCTTAGACGCGTAAAATGTTAATTAAGTGCAGTTGATAAGCCTAGCATATCCGCTGTGTAAAATATGTATGGTTATTTGTACATATATTTCAGTATGAAGATGATCTGGTTTTTGCAGACACTTTCAGTTCTGCATCATGTAACTTGACTTCGAAGGGTGAAAATAAAGGGTGATAATAAAATAACTTTTCATTTATGAAAGCTCAGCGATTTTTTAAAAAGAATTGGACGAAATTTTAACTTCATTATGATAACAGTTTGTCAAGACCTTTATGGCTTCTACTGAGCTAATATTTGTGTTTTCATACATAATTTATTTTTGTGGATTTTTCTTATTTATACTAATGATCTTATTTAGAACTTAGTCCAGCCAAGCTCTTAGGTTCTTCTAGGTTAATTGCCTCGATACTTTTCGCTTAATTTTTCATTAAAAAATAAAACAATCATTGTGAAAACATTACAAATTTTCACTAAGATCACTGCGTTTTAGAGTTAACTCTCGATGGTTTCTCTTTTCTCTGCCACTCATAGCTCAGTGATATGTTTGGTCGGTACGGAGCCGTCGGATAAGAGGTAAATTTTTCAGTTTCTCTTGAATAGTTTTTGTTAGGCCGGTCTATTATGCACTCTATGCGTCATATATCTAGACTTTAGTAATTATTATTAATATCGCAGAAAGGGTATGTCTAAATTAATAGATTAGCTATCTGGTTTAGTTGAAAGTAAATATTACAACTTTCTTTCCAAAACATTGAAATACTTAATTAAATATTAAATTCTTCAAAATTTCTTCCACAGCCCCGCAATATAGCGCTGCACAACTATCCACTGGAAGAACACACAGTGCAAACCAGCGATGGCTACCTTCTCAGTACCTACCGCATACCAGCACTAATCGCCAAAAGGAACGGAGTCGTACTACTACAGCACGGTTTCACACTCTCCTCCGATGTTTGGCTGCTGCGCGGTCCTAAAGAAGATCTGCCTTACCTCCTTGCTGACGCTGGTTACGACGTCTGGCTGGGCAACCATCGCGGTAATGAATATGGACTGAAACACAGTAACTTGCATCCAACTGCGGATAGAAAACACTTTTGGAATTTCACCTGGCACGAGATGGGCTTCTACGATCTGCCGAATATAGTCGATTATATACTTGAGGAAACCGGTGAAAAGTCCTTGCACTATGTGGGTTATTCACAGGGCGGCTTGGTAGCGTTAGTGCTGCTGATGACACGACCCGAATATGCCGAAAAGTTTAAGTCATTGCAATTCACAGCGCCCACTGTATACATGCGGAATCTCAATGTGCCGGTGCCTGCTTCTTGGATCGGTAAGCTGCTCAACTATTTGTCATATTTCTTGGATTGGTGGGGTTATGGTGAAACCCTGCAGTTTGCGCGTTGGAATTTGCATAAACGGATGTGTAAAGCGATGTGTGCCGATGGCGCCTGGCTTAGACCTTTTTTTAAGAAAATATTTAGTATGATCGGTGGACCGGTGGCTGCGAACGAAGATTATGAGGTGAGCGCAATTGCGTACATTTCTGTTTGTATACGAAACATTTTACAATTCCTCAACTTTCAGCACATTTTAACGGAAATTTGTGGTAGTGTTCCGGTGGGCGCCTCTAGCAAGCAACTCCTTCACTACATGCAGCTATATGCCACTGGCGGTTTCACGCACTTCGACTATGGTAGTGCTGATCGCAATTTACGTCAATACGGTCAAGTGCTGGCCCCCAGCTACAATGTGAGCTCCATTAAAAATTGCATATCGATATATTACAGTGAAACCGATAAAATGTGCGGACCGGAAGATGTGCGTCAGCTGGGTAGAGATCTGCAATGTGCAGAGTTGCATCGTTTGCCTTATGCCGCATGGAATCATGGCGACTTTGTTTGGTCGCGCCATGCTCGGCATGCTCTACACGAACCCATAATAGCGAAAATGGACGCATGGCGGGATGGCATGGCATTTGCATACTGAGACGTAAAACTCAGAAAGTTTAGGGGTTGTTTGTATTTTGTAAATATTATTATAATTTCTCTTGTTGAGAAACTGGCTGATCTAAGTTTTAATATTTTATTTGTTCCCAAACTTATTGTGTAAAAAAGTTTTCAGAATTTAATATAATTTTTCTAACACTTTTTATATTTTACCGAGCCTGTTTTAACTGACAAGCGAACAAGTGAAAGATTTTAAGAAAGTTTTTCATTTCAAGGGCACACTCGTGATGGCTTCTATTGCTTGATAAACTTGCAATAATTACCAAACCAACCAATCAAGTGTGTTAATGAATTGCCTTAAGCTTTGTCGAATCGTTCGTCGACCAGATTAGTTACAGTGTTCATCCTGCAGCATCGCATTGACACCCAGAAGGCTGTGAACATTATCTATTCTAATTGGAAAAGTTTAAAGCCGATTAAAGGTTCGTCCGCCTCAGTCGATACCAAACACTCAGCATCACAACTATCACAAATTTGTTGAGACAGCTAATAATAATTCCGACCAATTTGCCTGTCGACCGGAATGTTTCAACCGCAGCCTAGCGAAATCGTCTACATGTCGCCATCTTCCATATAACATTGAGAATTTTTATCTTCATCGCATTATTAGCTATCGAACAGTTCCCAGCACTTTCGCTATGGCCAGTGACCCAAACAATGCTAATACCAAAGAAGGTTGATGCTTTGCATTGAGGCTTTGCTATCAGAAGGAATCTAAACAGCTAAACATACTTCGGAGCAATTCATCTACCGCTACCTTGCACGGAAGTTTGATTTACCTACCTACCTCTATATAGTATCTAGTGAATAAAAATTCGGGAAAATTTATTCTACTTCAACTATAACGAGAACATATTTCCTATATCGGATACTTTACCTTAACACATTTGTGTAAGTTTGGCGCTCCATTCTCTGTCTGTTGCAGCGATTAAGATAATCAGGAACTTTTCGAGGTCTTCAACCGGCAGGACAACTGCACCAGAACCGAAAATTTTAAGACACAGATAAGTTAGTCAGTTACTATAGACAACAGTGGACCTTAGGATAGCATATTTTGTAGTAAATTTATTTAGGGATTAAAGCCAAATACTTAATAATATGTCAGGGATGAATTATATACAGAGAAGGCATCAGATATTGGAAGAAGGCGTGGTTGTGAACCGATTTCACCCATATTTCGTACATGTCATCAGGGTTCTAAGAAATATTATATACCGAATTTCATTGAAATCGGTCGAGTAGTTCCTGAGATATGGTTTTTGGTCCATAAGTGGGCGACGCCACGCCCATTTTCAATTAAAAAAAAACCCGGGTGCAGCTTCCTTCTGCCGTTTCTTCCGTAAAATTTCGTGTTTCTGTTTGTTCGTCGGTTAACAATAGCTATAGTAGTTCTCGGGATATGTACAAAATACTTAGTAGGGGCCACGCCCACTTTTCCAAAAAAGTTACGTCCAAATATGCCCCTCTCTAATGCGATCCTTTGTGGCAAATTTCACTTTAATATCTTTATTTATGGCTTAGTTATGACACTTTATAGGTTTTCGGTTTTCGCCATTTTGTAGGCGGGGCAGTGGGTCGATTTTGACCATCTTTGAGCTTAACCTTCTTATGAAGCCAAGAAATACGTGTACCAAGTTTCATCATSATATCTCAATTTTTACTCAAGTTACAGCTTGCACGGACGGACGGAAGGACAGACAGACATTCGGATTTCAACTCTACTCGTCATCCTGATCACTTTGGTATATATAACCCTATATCTGACTCTTTTAGTTTAGTATAAAAACTCAATATTTTGTTAACAGTTTTCTTTGATGATAACGGTGTGGTGTTCTCCGAATTCCTTCCGATCGGCTAAACTCTCAACAGGAAATATTATTTGAGTGTTAAGCGTCGATAACGCTTGGATTGGAAAAAACGTTAAGTTTGTGGGGCAAGGGGTATACCTTTGAGAGGCTTCGGTAATATTTTGTCCCGTATTGAAATAAGTGGGGTTTCGTCGTTTTTTTATCAGTCATTACAACCTTAAAAAGTCACTGTTAGGTAAGATCTATAGGCAGAGAGAATCATCGTTCCATATTTCTTCTAAAAAAAAAAGGCAACCATAATTTTACAGTCAGTGGGGATGGCATTATAGCCATCACTAATGAGTTTTTCGTGTCTGAATTGGAGTATATGCGTGTGGACGAACGTTGGTTCCACCCGGACGGCGATATATACTATTCAGCCAATGAAAGAATCAGTTTATTAAAGAAAAATTTTGGTGAACGTATTGTATCGGGTCATGAGCTTGTGGCATAGCTTCCACGACAGTGGCATTTAACACTGTTGGACTATTTTTGGTGGTGCTATGTGAACTTTACGCTTGTCGACCCAAATAAGCCCAATATAATTGATCTTTTGGAAAAGAATATTTGAAACCTTACAACTAACAAACGATTCCACCCAATTGCTGCAATATGTGGTGAAAAATTCGATCGTTTTGCTGAAATTTATTCGACTACCTGGTGGCGGTCACTTGCTCTTGCTAAATACTTGACCTTTAGCTGTAAAGAATATTTTAATGCTTTTATGTCTTTCAAGTTTGACTTAATGCTTGATTTCATCATCTAATTTCTCTGCTTCTGTCTTAAATTTATTTTAATTTTTGCTAAAAGTGGTTATCATCATGCATACACATGTCCAAATTTATATATTTATGTAGCTATATACATAAGTATACAAGTATATTATATATTGCGTGCATCATCTGCACACCAAATTATTCGAACTTTTTACGCGTCCCGTTAGTTTTTGAAAGTTCAAGTTCACCACGTGCATACAATGACAGCGACGACGATGAAAATAAATTCGAGTACTAAACTGACAGCGAAAAGCGAAAAACTAAAATAGCAAAGAGTGGACCAAAAAAAAAAAAAACTATGAAAAAAGTCACTCGTTAAATAAAATATGTACAAATATTTGCGGATAGTACTGAATAACAAAATACAAACAAAAAGTTACAAAGTCTGCGAAAGTAGTTCATTGTCAGCGCCATAAAGTATTGTTGAAAATTTGTTCGTCTCTGTTTTCCTTTTTTGTTAACTTGGAAAAATATCGAGGTTTCAGTTAGCACGCTGTGCTGAGTGTGGAAATGCTGGTTGTAAGTGATGTATACAAACATTTATAAATGTTTACTTCGCTACAGTATTAATACTTTGATCCTTGATAAATTGCACTGCGAAAATCGCTAATTTTTGGCTTCAATTAACCGAAGATTCAAGTAACTGTTAGGGGTTTCATTGAGTTGTTCTTGTAATTAGAGGAATTTTGACCAATTAAATAAGATAATCGGAGATCGGGAGAGATAATTTAAGACACTGTACAGTGCAGAGTTTAATGTACATATCTTGAAGTTGGAAGAAACAACCGAAGTAGATCATTACCTAAGAGTAGAGGCTTAGGTAATGACTGTCCAAACACTCGACTACTCCTTGTTTGCCATGCAAAAGATGTAGAGAATGGACTGGAAGTAAACATTTGCAAAGGTGCACAGTCGCTACATATCTCCAAGCGGTAAGTGATCGCGTAGAGTACGTCCCCAGACATCGTAAAGAAGAACAAAATACTTTGAGCAATCAACGTCTGCGAACCCTTTAAACCCCCTGATATGGACGGCATTCTTACAGTCACGACGCAGAATGTATCAACTGCGCTGATACTTGAGTAAGGGGACGGTCGTATTCATACCCAAGGCAGTTCCCCTTTATTACAAATAATATAAAAACCTCATTGCTTTTGAATATATTTAAAAAAATCTAGATATCTGTATTAAAGGCAAACTTTTATTGATAAACTTGCCAAAAGCACAGCAGACCTATATTAAGCGTAGATCTAAATATAAAAGAGCACTAGGGCATAAAGACTAAGCTCTGGACGTCTTTTCAGATACATCAGGAATATTCAACAATGTCTCCAATAATGCGATCGTCAAAGTCTGGAAGCAGCACAGATAGAGCCTGATATCATAGCATAGATAAAAGCTCCACTGAGCTGCAGGAGGATTAATGCGGGTCGAAACGAAACCAAGTAGTTGAGAATAGCGTACACAGTAACTCCTCAGGAGGTATATATTCCCATTATTATAGCCACTTGCAGCTAATGAGCGTTTGGTAAAATTTGAAAGGAATTAACCCAAACTGATAGCCTATGGTAATGTAATGAACAACGATCTAAGGGTCATATACCGATGGGCGATATCGGTTAACCTAAAAGTAAACGCCGATAAGACACGGTACTGTTTACAAGGATGTACAAAATTCCGCCGTAGAAACCCCTCACCTCACGGAACTTATAACTTGTATACCGACGGATCTATCTATTGTTCAGAGCTAGAGATCAGGTAACCCCATCCTGAACACCGCAGTATTTTTTAGGCGAATTCGGCTGAAATAGCAACGCAGGAAAAAAATATAGAAGATCAGTTTTTACATTGATAGCTAAACGGTAATTAGGGCAATAATCTTCCACTGCAGGCTTTAGAAAGTGCAGTTACGTAGATATCAGAGAGCCAGGAACACCGCTTAAGCATCTGTCCAATATTACCTAGAACTCGGCCTGCATTCCAAGTAGCTTCGCCGTTCATGGGACTAAATGAAGTATCAAAATCAGATGTCGAATCACTCTTAAGGTTTTCAATAAGCGTAGACTTCCTGTATAACCAATACTTCTTCTAAAATTAAATTGTACCTCCATCTGGCTACATCTACATATAGTAGCCGTAAAAATAAAGCCAATATATACTAATGATTTACATTATCCGTTTTGACTCATTTTCGACAAAAGAGTATATGTTGGGATAATATTCTTTATGTATTTAGTAATCACAAATTGATCTATATTTTCGATAAAACGGCAGCCATAGTCACTTAGGTCTAGCACTTCATGTATCTTGAGGCTTGATAAGTTATGATCCTATTCCGACCATTTTAAGACATGATATAATTTGAAGGATGGAGTCATGTGTAGAAGTTCACGCAAGTGAGGAAAGTTCTCTGATCGCCATTCACTTGGGAGTGGCCACAAACGATTCTTTTACATAT